CGCCCCCGCGCACACACACACACACACACACACACACACACACTCCCCTGCATTCTCCCCAAGGTTGGACAGTCTGCTCAGTACTATGTTGTCTCTGGATTCATTTTTGTTCCTCAGTTTATGTTGATCAGTATATCCCAACATATGAATGAGATCATGTGATATTTATCTTTCTCCTACTGGCTTATTTCACTTAGCATAATGCTCTCCAGTCCATCTATGCTGTCGCAAATGGTAAGAGTTCCTTCTTTTTTACAGCAGCATAGTATTCCATCGTGTAGATGTACCACAGTTTTCTAATCCATTCATCTACTGATGGGCACTTAGGCTGTCTCCAGATCTTAGCTATGGTGAATTGTGATGAGTAGACATTTTAACAAAGGAGCTCATCTGACTCCTCGCTGGCCACGCCCCCTCCAGGACGGCAGCCAGGCCCAGCTGCATCCCAATGAGAGGCACTGTGGGCCCCTCGGATAACCCTGCAGGCACTTTCATGCGTCGCTGGCCTCCAGGTGGGGCTGACACACTCTCGGTGACCCCTGGAGACCCCACACCACTCCGTCCCCTAATGAAACACACCACAGCCTCTGGCTGCTGGCTCTTCTGGAGCAATGGGCTGCCCGCTCGTGTGGGGTCTCAACACCTGCAGCTCACCTCCTTCAGAGACATTCCCAGTGTTCGACGTGCTCTCCGCACCTTGGCCATCAGGGCGGCTTGTGCACGCCTCACGGGGGTAGGCAGACAGCCTCCATCTGCATTGGCAAGCTCCTGGGCCCCTCACGCCCGCTCGTTTGGGCGAGTGGAGACAGGCCAGAGATCTCTCTACTCCCACAAAGTCCGTTTCAGGAGCAGCCTGTTAAGTGTCTCATTTCGCTGATGCAGGCTGCGCGGGCAGAGGGCCTAGCTGGTGCTGCATCTGTTAGTAGATCCCAGAGGATGTGCCTCTTTAGAACAGTGGTTCTCAACCTTCCTAACACCGCAACCCTTTAATACAGCTCCTCATGTTGTGGGGACCCCCAACCATAACATTATTTTCGTGGCTACTTCATAACTGTAATTTTGCTACTGTGATGAATTGTCATGTAAATATCTGATATGCAGGATGTATTTTCATTGTTACAAATTGAACATAATTAAAGAAAGCACAGTGATTAATCACAAAAACAATATGTCATTATATATGTGTTTTCCGATGGTCTTAGGTGACCCCTGTGCAAGGATCGTTCGACCCCCAAAGGTTGAGAACCGCTGCTTTAGAACGTTGCGTGTTGTTGTCTGTCTTTGGCTCTGAGATCTCAGCCAAATTCTGAGACAAAGCACACGTTCTCCCCACAGCCAGTCACACGTGAGCAAATATTTATGGTGCCTGCTCAGAGCCAGGACCTGCGCCGAGGCCTGGGGTGCAGGACAGTGA